ATAGCAATAAATACATCATGGATTAGAAACCGCTGTAAAACTGAATTGTCTTTAATTTATGTTATAAAAAACGTGCAAACGCCCACCGGAAATCCCTTTATTCGCGAAGTGACCGCAGCCCACAGGTATTTGCAGATGTGTTGGCTACCTTTAATCAACAAAGAGGACGCAAAGAAGTTTTTCCCCTAACTATCCGTCTCATCCCCTGCCAAATCTACCTCCCCTTCCTATCCCTTCCTTGTACGAAAACGGTGGAGATACTCTTATAAGACGAAACATGGAATAACTTCAACTGCACGTCTGTCTTCTGTGTGGTCGTGGTATTGCATCTCATTTTAAAATAGAATGTTTTAATAAACTGTATCCTATAGAGCTTAATTAGTTGTATTTTTACTAAAAAGACTATCAATGCAGGTTAGAAGTCGTTAAATGCAAATTCTTTTAATGAAATGCGTCAACACGCGACAAAAGTACGTTCTTGGAACTTCACTGTGAATAATAATTAAGTAGGAAAATATTAAGACTAAACAGAGTAATCGACATGATATCAAAGTTTGTTATAAAATTAATTTAATTGAGTTTTTTGTATTCCCATTTATGTGTGTGTGTTTAACACAGTTACACAAAATTTATTTTAAATTAAATACAGCGCCATCTATATCCTAATTAAAATAACTGCGTAAAATACAAGTGTGCGTAATTTAAAGAGAAGACTTTACTAGCTCCATCTAGTGTGGGGTAGAAAAAAGTTAAAGGAAATATTCTGGCTTGTTAATTATTTATGACAATAGATGGCATTGCCCTCTTTTACAAAACGACGGAACGCGAAAAAAATGCCATTCGTGCTTTAATGCTACTACCGACTTTACTACTGTTGCCACAATGGGAATGCCGTTAATGTTTTTGTTTCTTATTGCATCATTTTAAAATGTGACACAACATAGTCAGATAATCACACCTGATTGATATTTTGTTGTTAATTAAATGATTTTATTGAAGAAAATTGCACTTCAAGTTAAAAAAAAGAATCTAGTAGCAACTGAAGTAATCCTATAAAAACAACAAATTTTTCCTAACTTAAATACCTACTTTCTATTGCCAAATCCATTTATCCGTTCATATGCTTCCGAAAATACATTTACAAAGCGCGAATTCGTGTATTTGGCATACGTTTTTATAGTTTTGTAAATGTAATGTATACATTCAGAATGTGCGCTCACCTAATTTAAACTATCCCACAATTGTTTAGTATCGTTTTAATTTTTTTTTTATAACATAAGGTGGCAAACGAGCAAGCGGCCACTTGAATCCGCCAAAATGGCGAAGCGACCGCTGCCCATAGACATCCGCAATTGCAGATGCGTTGCCTACCCTTATACGACGGAGAAAGAGACGCACAAAAAGAGGATATTATCTTTTCCTATGCATCTCCTCCACTGTCAAATCCACTTCCCCTTTTCCACCTCTCCTTATAAGAAAAGGGTGGTAAAGAGAAAGGGACTTAAATTAGGCCTCCGGCACCACACTCATCAGACGAAACACGGAATTGCTTCCATTTCACGCCTGTCTTCTGTGTGGTCGTGGTATTACCCTGGGCGTGCCGGCCCATTCGTGCTAAGATGTTAAAGCGGGCACTACCACTGTTCTGTATTCCTATGAGTTTACGGAGGTGCGCACACTACTCGATTTTGTTGCGAAACAAACGACAATCGATAAACGCACAACAGTTATGCGATAGTTCACTCAAAGGTGTGCGCTCACTCTTATGTAGCTGACTGGTATCTCTAACATATTATTTAGTTTAAAGTTCTGATCAAATACAATAAAATAGACATAGATAAGATTAATTCAACGCAATAAAATCATGAGAACTCGTTTGTAATCATAGGTTACCTCTGCCTAACCTGTACACAAAACTGCTATCTCTCTTATTTTCAAACAGAAAGAGAGAGATAACAATACCGTATCGTAGAAAAGTTTCACCAGTGTAAGCCCACTCTTAAAAAGTACATAAAAATGTTTGTAATTTATTTGCACACGCATATAACGTCATTTGTTTTAATGCAATATTTCCACGCGAGTTCACAGTGTAGAAGGAAGTCCGCCCAATGACTGCATTAGCTGCATTTCGCCCATCGCTGAGCTGTGGGCGATGTTACATTGTTTTGCAAGATAGACTCTCATTATTTGTTATCTTTTTAAAACGATCGATAATTACGGTAGGGATGTGAGGAATAAATTAAAATAATTTTATGACCGAGCTTAGCAAAGGACCAATGCTGGTATGAAAATGGATATCACATTAAAAACTTTAAAATTATCATTATTTCTCTACTATATACGCTAGCTGTTGCTCGCGACTTCTTCCACGTAAAGTTAAAAATTGTACCGATGTCACTCAGCGATAATGTAGATCTTAAATGGTGAAAGATTTTTTTAAATCGGCCCAAGGCCAAGAGTTGTACCAATACATACAAAAATACAAATCTTTCCTCTTTATAATATTAGTATAGATGTATGTGATATATAAACCTTTCTCCTGATTCGCTCTATCTATTCAAAACTGCATCAAAATACGTGAGAAGTTTTAAAGATCTAAATTGACAGAGGAAAGTGACTTTGTTTTATAAATCGAATCTAATTTATACTTATCTATACTATTATAATAAAGCGTAAACACACACTTCTTTGTTGCCTAAGATGTCAGCAATTACAGCATTGTTTTGAATAATTATTTCTTTAATAAAAAGCCCAACACTTACGTCACGCTTTAGGCTATATATTTTCACGCCATTAAATTTAGGGCGTAAATATTTTGTATAAAACACTTAATGTGGGAAAGAGACTATAAGTTGCTGCCAACATCATGGAAGCAAGGTTGTCATGGTTTGTAATGTCATGTCATTCTGACATTTGCAATTGATAATTTGACAAACGTGAACAATGAAATGAAATTTTATGCGGATGAAGTCGCATGGGAACAGCTAGTCAATCGATAAAATGGAAAAAAAAACACAAATTTTGACTTATTTATGTTTTAAAATGTTAGTTTTTATATTTCTGTAAAATTCAGAATAGAATGTGAATGTAAAGTACATGAAGAGACAAACCACGATAGTACTTTGAACTTCTATCGAACGGTTGCGACTCACTGAGTTAAGTGGTGTGTAATCCGGATAACATAGTATGGAGATGGAGTTTTATTTTCTATATTTAAAAAAATAAAATAAAAAATTATTCACCCTAGTCGAAAGATCTCTTAACTTGGGTTTTAAGATGATTTGTTCCGTCACAAAATAGTTATTGGTATGTTGATTAGTTTTAAATTATCTAATTTAGGTATGCTTTGTACGGTTTGATATAAAAGCTAGAGAAACTGAATAGCATTGTTTTTGTCAAATGCGTTAGAAGATTTTTTTTTGTATAAAATGGTAATGGGTTATTGTAAAGTCTCAAATAAATTGTAACAAAAAATTTCAACAAAATTATTATTATTTAACGTTATTATTTCCTATTTTATGTTGTATGTAAGATTATTCATTTTAAAAAGTTGACATCTATACTTATCGAGCTTTAGGCTAAGTAAACAAATTACCCAATAGATTGAACAAGTAAACCCTTACCCGATAATACTTGAAAAGTAAAAGTAACGGAATCAAAGAGTACTTTGAATGAACTGAAAACACGTAACAGTTTCGTAACAATCTTAGTTTCTTTGCTTACAATGCAAATTATAACACAGTTGAGTCGGCATCTTTTTCATACGTAAATTAATATTTATATTTTAATTAATAGGAATATTAAAAGAAACAGAGGCGTTAGCTCCATTTAAAGGATAAAAAAAAGTCCCAGACAAAACAAACTGGCGCATTATAAAAGGGGACCCGGCAAGTTGGAAGAAAAACAAAAGAAATTTTAAATAGAGAACTGCGAAAACGAAGCCGCAAATCCGCAAACACGATTGGCTGAAAATGGCCCACAGACGAGCGCTATTGGTCAAAAATAATGTTTGTGGAACTAAACACTTTATGCGGGGGAGATAAACCAAAATTCGACCACAAATGTTGACAGAAGGCTTTCATTTCTTGTCAAATGAATTTTAACTTTAAAACAATAGACACAAAGTATAAGTTGGCTTTTTGCATTGTTGTTGGTTAACGGTAATGTGAATAGTATGCGAAGATATGAGACGGAAAATATGTCCTTTTTCAGTTGTGGGAAAGAGATCACTTTATAAAAGAGTCTTGTATTACATATTCCGGGAAAACATTTATTTTTATTTTTTAATTTAATTTAGTTAAGAATTCTTCTGTTTAACTATAAAATAGTGTTTTAAATTTTGTTATTACAATTTGTATAAAGTTAACTGTACTTGAAATAATTCACAGCAATAGGTAAATTATATCCACCACTGACAATGAAAATTAAAAAAGTAATATCAAGCAATGACAGCATAAGCTAAAGAAATCGCTCAATCAATTTTAACTAAAATAACATTTAATTAATGTATGTACATAGCATATTCATTCGATTTAATTCTAAAGACGCGAATGTCTACAAGATTTTAATAGAATTCGTAATAATCCGGCTTCTACACTTAAACAAATCGACATAAATGAAACGCATCATTATCAAAACCAACCCCTTATTTCGCGAAATAATTTTATTATAATAGATAATTTAAAACTGTCCAACTTTGCCCCACTACTGAAGACAAATGGGAGGAGCTTACCATAAAATCAGAAACTAATAAAAATCTATACATCTCTTTCTTACAAATGAGCAATTCTAAAGCAGTAAACAGCTTTACAAGGGGTTGCCGATAATAATACTATCTCACTCTGGCACATCGAATGGGGCTATCGTAATATCAGCCCTTGAGAGTCCTAAATTCACGGTAGAGTCATAGTTCCACGTGAGATGTTGTTTTGTAATCAGTGTAGTCGCGCCTTTATTCTGGAACACAGGTCACAATGTACGCGAGTTTGACAGTTTGACGTATAATTTGGCGGGAACGAAATTGATGTGATTTATCTATGATATATTTTATTAAATATAACCTATAATTTATTTTCGTCGGAAAGTTTAAAAAGTGATGCATGCAAGTTGAAGAAAAGTTACTGCTTTGCATTAACTTGGATTTTTAGAATTAGTAAAGTGACGTAAGGTAAGGATTTAAAATTAAAAACACTTCTTAAATTTATTTATCATACTTAGGACAATAATTTTTTTTTGTGTCGAGAGATTTTTCTGTACGTATTGGTCTAATTATTTTAAAACTCACGTGTCAATGATTTAAATTATACATAAGTGAAAAAAACATTGGAATTGCGTATTAATTGCCACCCATAAAAACAAGAGGTCTCTGAAACAAAACAAAAATTATATTAGTCAAAACTAATATAACAGAATACAAAAAATAAAAGTATATAAAACACCATTAAACTCTATTATCAGATATTTCTTCCCTTTGAAATTAGCAATATAAAAAAAAAACAAAAAAATCAATTAACATAAAAAATTAGTCCCTAGTGTCATAAGATTTGTGTTTTTATTCTAATTAGAATCTAATACTTAAGTTAAATTTATCAAATCTATAGATTCAGTAAATTTCGCTGCATTCTGTTTCTATGTAAATCATAAAGCGTAATCACTTACCCCTAAAGTTTTTCTTGTACTTCTTGTAGTAACTGTTACCATTTCAATAGTAGTTTCAGGATCTTCGATTACTTTCTCTGTTTCCGTAACATCTTCTGTTACAACTTCGATGCTCTTTTCTTTTTGACTTAATTCTTCTGTATGGAGAGAAGTTGGTGGGAGTTGTGACGTATTTTTTGGTAAATCAATTTCAGCGGTTTCTAATTTTGTGGTTTCTTCTATATAGTTTTTAGGTGCTTCTGTTTTATAGGTTTCTGGTTCATTCGATGACTCAGTATTAATTTGAACAGTAACTATTGTTGAATTCGATATGTCAAGAGATTTAGTTTTGGGATATTCAGCTGATATATTTGATACGGTGCTTTCTTTTAGAGCAGTTACTGTAGATGTTGTAATATTTTCTTTGTTGGTTATAACAGATTCTGTTATTTTAATTATTTTAGATGATTCCGTTGTAAATATTTCTTCATCTTTAAAAGTTTGATCCTCAATCTTATAAGTTGTAGACCAGTTGGGAACTCTACTTGATGTTAAGGTTTTAGTACTGTTAATTAGACTTTCCGACGTTAGGTTTGCAGACAATTTTGATATAAACATTGATTTAGAGGTTATGTTATTTTTAGATGTTATTGTGATTTTTAAATGTTTCTTTGAAATCAATCTTGTTTTTAATTCTTTTGTCATTTGAAGGTGTATTATTTTAGTTGTTTCTCTTTGTGTTAAAATACGATTTGTTAGTGCTTGTTTAAATTCTTCCAACGTTAAATATGCGTTCGGAATCTTTGATTCAACAGGATTGTTGATATAAATCAATGGATTTTTTTCACTTTTAACTTCCTTGATCAACAAATTGTGTCTTTTGAATCCGTTTACTTGTTTTAATTTCTTCACGTGAATTTTGTATTGACGGTTTTGAGTAAACAGTCGACGACTTGAAATGATTGTTCCTGTGAAAGAAAAGAAATAACAGAACATGAAGTAAGGAAAATACAATATTTTTCTTAAAATATATAGTTAGCACTATTTAGTTAAACTCGCTCAACTTCCTTCCTTCATGTGTTTACTCCCTCAGCCCACATGACCAAATTAAACACGTGTTTATCTCTGACAACAATTGGTATAAAGGACCTCAACGGTATTATATATTTCACCATGTATTACCACATTGTTTTAAGTTTTTTTTTTATTTATTGGCGCATTCCACAATCCCATGCATAATAATGTTTCAGTAACTATAATTTGTTAAAATGTACCGGGCACGTCACAGTATAACAGGGTTGATGAATGTTTCAGCTAAAATTTATTTGATTCACTATGTAAGTTTTGTGGTAAGATATTTACATTTGTAGAGTAAAGAAGTAATATAGTTTTTATCTATCCGTCGGTAATATGTGAACAAGCAGTATTATAGATGAATGTTACCAATCATTCGTCTGCGCGAAATTAAAAAAATACTCACAGATAAATTACCGTTCCAATGGTGAAAGAATTTTTCAAATTTGCCCAGTAGTTTTTGAGTTATTTCAATATATACAAAAATACAAATCTTTACTCTTTGTAATATTTGTATAGACTAGCTTTCGCCCCTGATTCCACCGCACGGAATTAAAAACTTAATTAGTAGCTTATCTGTTCTACAAGACTATGCTCTACATCTATGCCAAATTTAATCGAAATTCGTTAAGCCATTTAGGTAAACTCTAACAAACATCCAATCATCTAAACATTCGCATTTATAATATTAGTAGGAAGGAATATTAAATGACACGTCATGTCACAATATAAACTTTAACATTAAGAATTTTAACACGGTTTTACTTGTATTCATTAATCACAGTGTAATTAAGCTTGAAAAGACAATGTATTAATTAAATTTAATAACCAATTCAGTATATTTGACATGTAATTTGTTAAAATACAATTAGGTCGAGGTATATCTTTGAACATTCTTTGTATTTACAAAAGAATACAAATTCACATCCAATTGATAGAAAAATAAATTGTCTGTGAGTTTTATTTTTAATTTTATCATGGTAACTTAAAATAGCTTAGAATTTAAAGTTATGTCAATCATACTAATCATACTCATACTAAAATTATAAATGTGAAAGTTTAGATAGATGGATTGTTAAGGTTGTAGCCTAAACGGCTGAACAGATTTCGTTGAAATTTGGTAGAGATGTAGAGGATAGCCTGGAAGAACACATAGGCTATTCACTTTTGTTTTTTTTTAATTCCACGCGAACGTAGTTGCGGGCGTAAGCTAGTAAGATCTAAAGAACTTAAGCCTGTAGTTACGTTATTCGTGTATGGGACATGCAAGTCGTACTTAAATGCGTTAAAACTAACTTGATGTCTCGGAATAAGATTTTGAAATCACGATCTAAATTTCTTACCATCTTCAACTGCCTCTTTGTATTTAGAGTAAAGTTTAGATATCAATTCCTGAGACACATTTGGTATTGCAGAATTGCCCAATACACTTTGCACTATAATAATTCCGTCAAACACAAGCAAAAATGAACTCCAATGATTAAACAAAGAAAAGTAAATCATTTTACGAACATAACCTTACAATTTACGCATAAAACTGATTAAAACGTTGCTTGAACGCTTGCAAGAGATTTAATTTATCAACAATGTCGTGATTCGATTTTAATTATAAACATTTCTAACTGTTACAAACATCAAGCCGAACAGTAATCTTACTTCCTTACTAAACGCTATAAATGAGAAAGTTAGGTGGATGGATGTTTGTTAGAGTTTACAACCTAAACGGCTGAATGTATCACGATTAAAGGCATAGATATAGAAGATAGTCTGGAAGAACACATACGCTACTTGCTTTTGTTTTTTTAATGGCACGTGAACGGAGTCGCTGTAAGCTAGTAACTAAATATTTCAAAGGAAAGATTAATTTAATAAAAATAACCGTCTTTTTTTTGAGTTATATTCTGAAGAAAAAAAAAACAATATGTGTATGACACTCACAATAAAGCTTGCTTCAGACGTTCATTTATTAACAATTCGAATTTTATTAAAACTGTCAGAATTGATCGTCTATAGTGAGCTTTACACCAAAGAAATGTAGACTGCTCAAGATATTTGACCCGATCTGTTATTGTCTTTTATTTTAATATCATAATTCTATGCGTAAGTTTTTTTTGGAATAACCAACAGTTATTAGCGCCTCTCGCCAGATTCGATATTCTTATTTTATACATACACCCGCGAATAACATTCCTTTCTGTAGGTGCAACTTTTCCTCCACGTTTAGAAAAACTTTATCCTAACGTAACGTGTTGAGTGTCACGTAAAATGGTACGTGAAGGATCACGTAGTGTTACGTGAAGTGTTAAGTAAGAGCGTCGGTAACTCTCCGTGTTTGACAAACACTCGAAAGAAGTGTTTAAAATTAAACGGTTTAAAACATTTTAAGGAAGTTGTAATATTTTTAACCGCATGTAATTTTAAATAATTTATATTTTTTATTGTATATTTGAATTCATTAAAATTAAGAAATAAATATAATAATAACGTCAAGAATAAAACAAAAGGTGGTAAATGATGGATGATAAAATGTTTGTACAATTTTAACTCGCCAAAGATTAATGATTATTATATTTTTTTCCTTTGTTTAAAATAATTTTTCTTTCTATAATACCGTTTGTTACTGTTTGGTGCATTTGTAATTATTTTTACGATACTAAATTACTGAGTTGTCCACTGTTGAGACATTTGCTTAACATACTGTCATGTCAGTTCCGTCGAGAATTACTTACTGTGTACAAAGTTTTTATTGAAAAAGGCAAAAGTGCAGCCGATAGCCTAATGTTAATTCCGACGCCAATTTGCATTCGCAACGCCAGAGCAACAATAATAGCGTGGCTAGTCTGTAAATAGACTGTTTTCTTGAAATACCCTAAGTCGTATTTATTCGAAAACACCGCTGAGGACAGATTGTCACCTTTTTTGAGTACTTACGGTGTACAATGTTGTCAAATTATCAGCTTAAATCTTCTGCCTCTCTCTTAATAAATCTATCTACCGTCATCTCAGTCGTTATTTTTGATGCAATCTTTCCATTTCTTTCTAGCCCTACCGGTATACCTCTACATTCACAACTAAAGTTTTCCTTGTCACCATGCGATTCCATTTTCTATCACTGGTGATTAAGACTTCTTTTAATATACTCATCTCTTGTTGGTTGTCACAACAGAGATGTACTCATGTTGTACTATATTGTCAGGTTGTCACAATAGAAGAGTACGGGGTGTACACGATGCTGCCGGCGCAGCAGCTCGCGCCCATCAGCCCTTGGCCGCCCGACGCCAACCTGCTCGACCGCATGGACGACCTCGCGCACAAAGGTAAAGGTAATGGTGACCACCATTTTGTTTTAATATACACTAGTTGAAGAATCATTCAAAAATAATCGAACGAGAGTTTTTTACAATAAATTTAAATACAAAATAAACTAAATTATTAGTCAATATTTTTATTGATAAGATTTGATGCGTCATCCAACAATATGACTTGGCTGTTTTGTGAGTGATGCTATTATCTCACTATTAAGCCCGCTATATACGTTTAATATTAACTGACAAGTTTAACTAGAGAGCCAAACTGTTCAGTTAGTTTTTGTTGTGTGTAGCGGGATTTACATCTTAATATTGCTGGAATATAAAACGACCAAATCATATTTTAATCTGGATTGTTCTAACACCTAAGACCTGTGTGACACAACCTGTTGCATTTACAGTCCATTCATGAACATGAGAGATGGTGATTAATTGGAGTAAGCAGGATTGTGGTGCGACAGGTCACAGCGGTGTTAACCAGCTCGGCGGGGTGTTTGTAGGAGGGAGACCGTTGCCCGACTCAACGCGGCAGAAGATCGTCGAGCTGGCGCATTCTGGCGCGCGACCCTGCGACATCAGCCGTATACTGCAAGTCTCCAACGGATGTGTCTCCAAGATACTCGGAAGGTCAGTTTATTGCAATAATTTGGTAAAAGAAACATCTATACTAGAATTCACACAACAGAAGATAGACCAAACCCCTTGAACCGTCTGCTTTGATTGATTCCACCTTAGCCTAAAGTATTTGACTCTTACTTTCGGCCGCCTAAATGATTGACTTGTTCTACTTATCTCAGCCTAAATATAAAGGCTTTTCTAGTGGCGTAAATGATTTGGTCGCTTTTAAAAAGTGATTGTCATGTCATTCGCATTCTTGTAGGGAATTTTATAGAGGTTAACTGTCTTTTTTATTAACAAATGCTTGATCTATTCATAAGACGGTTAATGTTTTAATTTTTCATATTGCTGGCGATGCAATTAACCTTTTTGTTATATTTTTACTTTTTATAGTATTTTAAAACAATAATTTATATTTTTTATTATTTATTTTATTTGTAAAATAATTCATCAGCCTTCAATAAAACGTCATAACGTTTGCTAGGCTGATTTGTATATAACTTTCAATTTGTATGTAAATTCTTTCTATTTTCATTGTTAGTTTTATTATTTTATTTTTATTTCTTCGCGTGCATCTTCTTGCTGCTCCTCGTCTTTTTCACATATCCAATTATTGATAGACGTTAAATGTAATTTAGAAATGAAAGTTTAATGATACTTATACCAACAACCACCTGTCTCATGTCATTCGTTCAATGTGCAAAGAAATTTCCTTAATTATTTTCGATAGATATAAAAATGACGACCGCAAAATAATTATCTACATCGCTGTTGGCAACATTATACTTAAAATATCTAAAAAATGCAGTTGGAATAGTACACCGGTGTCTAACTGGTTGTAACCACAGAATTATAGTAAGCGACCGCACGTTATAGGAAAACACCACGTACCATACGTCCAATTTACTAAGACCTCTAGGAATGCTAGAATATCACCTGTATCAAGATCTACTTAGCTAGCAGACCTTGACTATGAAGGTTTTAGTTGACAAGCGTGAAATTTGAGCGGAATCTATTTTTGTAGTGACGTATGGCCTGTCTATATATGTTTGTTTTATACGTCTGTGGTTAGAAAATATCGTATTTATTGGTCGTTTAGTAATTGAACACTTTATTTGGTTTTAATAGTGACTTCTGGTTTAGACTTCGTAAGATCAAATCTGACAGGTCATATAACGTGCCCTGATAGACAGTTTGGTTATAGAAAATTTCTAAAAATTGCTAAAGTTACCGGCGCTTTGGACCTCGATGAAATTTAGCACAGATGTAAAACATAGTCTAACAGAACATATTACTAGTTACTAGATTTTTTTAATTGCGCGTGGACCACGTCGGGCAAAAGCCAGTCTCTACATAAACATTACAAACTTGTATTAATATCATACTAATATTATAAACGCGAAAGTTTGAATTGATGGGTAGATGTTTGTTAGAATTTTTAGCCTAAACGACTGAATGGATTACGATGAAAATGGGCATAGATGTAGAGCATACTTTGGAAGAACACATAGACCGCATTCTTTTGTTTTTACTTAATCCGACGCCAAAGCTTGTTATCATAAATTCGATACATTCTAACCACAGACCTACGAAACCAAAATATAGACAGGCCAAATATTAATATTAGCTTTCACTTTAGTTGTATCGCTTGTTTTTGTTAAAATAACAAATTATGTTGTATTTCTAAAATTACTTCATTAGCTTTTTAAACGCCTGCGACGACAGCTGGCCGATAACACGTACAAAATGGATCCCGGCATCGAACCTGATACTGTCGTAACCAGACACCGCACTACCCTTGCGAGGTCCAACCTGTACAACCTATTACTTTCCTAACACATTAACGATATTACTTATATTCCAAATTTATAAAATTGACTACCATTATTCCGATAGTCGTTTTGGTGCATGGGCTAATGCGAAGAGCTTCGAACAACATCTCAAGTAGATCTCGCTAGACAGATGGATTAAGGGCCCGATTCAAAAGGCAGTTATTTTAGAAACCACGTATTGTGAGGAGGTTTCTGTCTCTGCCCTGACCACTGGTTGCTTGAGTCATCGGATTGCGCAGCCGGTGGTGCTCTATATTTTATACACCACGTTTTATTTTATTTTTTGATACAAATCATGTATAACATACTATATAAAAAATAAGAAATAAAGATATATGAAGATTGCTATATTATAAATGCGAATAGATGGACGGATGTTTGTGACCGCCTAAACAGCTGAACATCTCGATTATCTGAATAAACACATGGGCTACTTACTTTTTTTTTTAATTCCACGCGGATGGAGTCCTGGGCGAAAGCTAGTATCTTCTAATAGCTTGTTTAAAATGCTGCTTTTGAGTTGGCTTTCATGGTATAATTTACATAACGGTAGTCGTAATTTTTTTGGGGTGAAACGTAGCCGATGCAGACTGTACATCCTTGAGTTTAATTTTGTCTAATTCCATTCTTACTAATATTAGAAATACGACTTAGATGGATGTATGTTTCTGAGCATGCAACTCCAAAACATCTAAACGTATCAGGTCGGCACAGAGATAGAATGCCGTGTGGAGTATCGCTTTGGCTTACTAATTTTTTTAATACCACGAAGTAGCGGGCAAATACTAGTATATTTTTACATTCTCCTAAATTTTAAAAGCATATTTTTTGCAGGTATTACGAGACGGGGTCTATAAGACCTCGTGCGATAGGTGGCTCGAAGCCGCGCGTCGCTACAGCTGAGGTGGTCAGTAAGATCGCCCAGTACAAACGCGAGTGCCCCTCGATCTTCGCCTGGGAGATAAGGGATCGTCTACTCAGCGAAGGAGTTTGTTCTTCGGATAATATACCCAGTGTAAGTGTCATTTAAATCATTATAGATAGACATATTGCTTAGAAACGATGGAATATTCTATAAATCGCAGTAAATCGGTGTTATTAAAAGACGATGCTCGTGGAATTTTCTAGATACTAGATTGATGGAAGACGGAAGTCGTTATTAGGTGTAAATGAGTAAAAGTCGACATTGTTTTAGATAATTCTACTCAAACATTTCAAAACACGATTTGATTTTAAAGTATGAAGTCATAGTTTAACGTTGTAGACGAAAAATAAATCCGATGAAATATGTACCGTCGTTTTAGCAAGACGCCATTCTAAAGTATGAAAAATACGAAAGGGCGACTCGTAAAGTACAATGGTGCAGCCATACCTATAGTGAGGCTATATACAGGATGCTATAACGCCTTATCTTCCCCGGCATTATACAGGACTCCCCTTTTTGTTTCCCCCTCCCCTCCCCCTACGCTCCGTGGCAAAACAATATGACGTTATAACTTTTTTCTTCATCTTTTTCCCTTTTTTGAATACGAAGCCGCTCCCTATTGGAACATCCTTTAGATCCGATATCCTACGCTATAAGAACATAAAAGCCGATACGATAATAAGAATGTCTGTATTTCTTATTGCATGTGGCTACAATAATAAATTTAAAAATAAAACGTTCTTTCAGTGAAAACCTACCTTTTTAATAATTCATATTAAACAACAAAACTCTTTACTCCCAAATATAAGAGTCGTTAAAGGTTATGATGCGAAAAATACTAAATTAAAGAACATAACGCGAACGGCTCGCTCATTATGCGTCTTGAATCGCGAAAAAATTCTTAAACACCCTTTCGGATGTCGCCCCTCACGAAATACTTAACATAAATTAATTAAGAAATTCGCACAATCACCCTGTTGCTGACGGTTTGACGAAAAAAACTGTACTAAGTACTCTCCACAGAGAATATCGAGAAAAACATAAAACCGAAATGGAGGGTAAAGAAGGAGACGGTAATACGAAATTATGATAAGTGCGAAAGAGTTGGTCGGCTATCTCTTTTCCCAACGTCTGAAGGGTGGTGAGGGGAAGAGGCGATTTTGACACGGTATGAATAAAGAAAATATGAAAGCTTTTGTTGCCGTAAAAATTCCTGTACAGGGGATAAAGTCTTTAAGTTATCAGAGGGAGCCTTCAAGGGAGGTTTAAGGTAGGCGCGTATAGACAGGTGCTTTATGTGGGGCGGTCTCGTATTTATTGAGTATCGATATATAGTACATATACGTGTGTATATTATTTATGAGGGTTCTTAAGCGTTGAATATATTAACGTCGCGATCGTTCGGTGCGTACCTCATCGACATCGACGTATGATTTTGTTACTCGATGAGTAAATTAATATTTATGGAGAATGTGGCTCCGTGTCTGGCTTATTTTGACTTGAGGTCGTCGGTGACACACTTTCATTATCTAAATACATTAATTAATATCGTATCAACAACGTATTAATTTTTATTATCACCCCATATAAATACTCAGTGAGTGTGTATTTGCAATTGTCTTCTTGGTCATAACTTTATAAAAATTGTAATGCAACTTTAGCAAAGTGTTGTTATAAATAAAAACAGTCTTTTATGTTTGATAACGTTTTAACTAAGATCATAACTAATTTAAAGTTTATTACTTCCCGTTGCATCAACATACAAAATCGCTATCTATACTTATTTATTTAGTTTATCTTCAATAATATTATAAAGAGGAATGATTTGTATTTTTATATGTAAGGAACAATGTCGAAACTGCATCGATTTCAAAAATTATTTATTTAGAAATCTGTATTATCACGAAATGACAGAGTATTTTCATTGCTAGATTTTTTTTTTAAATTCCGCGCGGGCGATATCGCGTGCTAGAGCAAGTTTATGATAAATTGAAATGAAACAATTTCTCCGTTAATTTTAACATAAGCAGAGGCCTAATGAATAACAAGTACATCCAAAGCTGATAAGCTTTTACTGTAACAACCCTTGACTAAAGCGGCACTAACAAAGCTAAACCCCGTTAAGTCACCCTTAACGATTCCCTTTGTTATTGAATTTTTGTCCTTTATGTGATAAAAATACAGTTTAGTTTCAATTATCGCGAAAAATGTGAGGTAAGGGGGTCAATTGTTGAAAGATAGCGGGGTCATATCGGTGCAGGGCATGCGTTCCCGTAGCAAATCACTTCCGGACCACTAAATCCAGGCCAAATTAATGCATTTAGCACGCTCCCTTCGACACTTTAACTGGGGATGACAACTTTATTTTATTATAACACGATATTTTCTTGTCATGACAGTTGTTGGCTTTTTTTGGAAAGGGCGAGAACTTCGCTGGCAAAAAGTATTTGTTTATTAGTAGGTTAGTAAAAGTCGACAATAAATATTAGCAGTGTAATAAAGTGATCTTGAAACCTAGCTCACAACACAAGCTTAAATTTTTTACTTACTAGCGTTCGTCCGCGACTCAACCGCGTGGAATTAAAACAATAACATAGTAGCCTATGTGTTCTTCCAGACTATCCACTTTATTTATGCCGAATTTCATCGAGATCCGGAGAGCCGTTTAGGCGGCAAACTCTGACAAACATCCATAAATCTAAATTTTCGCATTTATAACATAAGTAAGAAGTACGATTTTATCTGGCAACCAAACATTAGTTAACAAAAGATAACTGCTTTGTATATTCTCCTAGGATATATGCCTTTAAAACCTGATCTCTTAGGAAAACAACGAAATAAATAGCTTGTTCGTAACACTGATTTAAAATATCATTAAGCGTCATATCAGTATCGGCGATCTGGCGCGAGGGGATGTGCAGCACAAATTGTAACAAAGGAGACGGGGAAAGAAGATTATCGGAGATGACGCGTGGCGGACACGTGGCATGCATGTGGTCACATATAGTTACGTTTACCCTATCTCGACACACACAATCGAAGTTGAGCTTTAAAAGCCAGCAGTTAGAGTTCAATTTTCTTTGCAGGAATTTCAAGTCGGATTTTATCAAATTTTACTAATGACATCAAACTTTGTTGTAAAGGTATAAGGTTGTTATTCGTTTGTGTTGTACTTTTCTGTAAGTTACTTAAAAGTAAGAAGTGTTGGAGGGAAATTAATACCACAATTCGTTGGATTTAAGGCTTACATTCATGTTGAGTGCAATTGTTAGCAAATAAATAGATACAATTGTAGCGATTGTCTTGTCACTGCTATTGTTTGTTTCTGTCACTCGCCATAAGTAGCTTCAGGGCCAATAAAATGTTAATATTTATTTTTTAAACCAACTTGCGACTCTCCCTAGCTTCACACGGATACCAACTTAAAACATCATACGTTTAAATAAGCATATATTAACTAAACTTCAAAAACTTGCATGACCTTTCTTCTTAAAAAAATTTAATGCACTTATTCTTCAACTAGCTGTTCCCGTGCGGCTTCATTCGCTTGAAATTATGATAATTTAATTTTATTGTCTACATTTGTCAAATTATTAATAGCAAATGTCAAAACGTCATGACATGATATCAACCTTGCTTCCTTGATGTTGGCAGCTTATGGTCTCTTTTCCACATTTGGGCTTTTTTTTATTATTTACCCCCTAAGTTTAATAGCGTTAAAATATGTAAACAGCCTAAAGCGTGACGCAAGTGTAGGGCTTTTTATTAAAAAAAAGGAACATTCAAAATATGTTGTAATTGCTGACATCTTAGGCAACAAAGAAGTGTGTGTTTACGCTTTATTATAATAGTAAAGATAACATGTATTTATAGTCAAAAGCATGTATGCATATTTTTGCAACCGAAGACGTAAATAATTTTCAAAAGTTTTTGTAAATGTGTACATAGAGTGATAAATATTTAAAACTTTACACATAACAGTATAAAACTTACGAATTGAAATTGCAATATTAACACACAAGCAATTAAAGTCTTAATATCCCACGATATATTCAGAATGAGTTAATTACAAGGTTCGAATCCAATAACCATGGCTCGCAATGTCGGCGGGCGGCGCGCACGCGGGCACAATGCAAAGATTATCTCAGGATTACGAATATTGTGCAGTATTGCTCTGCCTATTCATATTTTTCATTCTTAAGTAGTACTTAAAATAAGTTTATAACTAACATAAGTAAAAGTAAGTAAGTACATAAGTAACTCTTACTATTAAACTACATTTATCATCTGTAATCAAGTAGAAACTTTGTAAAATTTGAGTTTTATAAAATATACGTAACCTGAGAAAAAATTAACTTAAAATTAAGGTCGACTGAACTATATATTTAATTTATTATTTTTTAACTTCCAACATTAAATTCTTGTTGTAAAAATGATTTAAAATACAATAAAACGTTTTAAATTATAATGAATAATAACAGTAATGAAGGATAATGTGTAAAAATTGCGTGTCCCGCGCGGGGAGCAGCGGGGTGCTGCGAGGTGCGGGGCGCACGTGTAGCTACGATGCTTATCTCGCTTCGCTTGTCACCCCACGCTGCCTACCCCGCTTTATTTCAAACTGTACGCACCGAACATTTACCATGGGATTTTAGACATGTAATCAATATTTTTATGAGTTTTATTGGCGACATATGTATCAAGATTCAAACAGAACTATAAAACGGAGTAACCTTACTTCTTACTTATATTATAAATACAAAGGTTTATAAGGATGGATTTACGCATAAAGGGATAAAGGGATCTCGATAAAATTTGACATAGATGTAGAGTGGCATAGTCTGAAAGAATACATAGGCTACTTAGTTTTTTCATTCACGTGGACGGAGTCACGGTCGAAAGCTAGTATGTAATATACATTTAATAATAAGAAGCGCAATTATCACATCTTTATACATTTTCATGTGTATCTGCTCTTGAAAAGTAGACTGTGTATATTAAAGCCAAAACCCGCAGCCAAACCTGAAACAATTGTATAGCACTTTACTGTACGGTTAACAAAATCAGTGCGCACATCTACAATTCTTAGA